AAGATTGTTTTTTACGTTGCTTTTACCCATAATCTTGCATGGTGTAAATAATATGGCTTTTTTTTTTTTTTTCATCAACGACTTGTGGGTCCAAGTGAAAGAAACTCGATTTTCTTTAAACAAGATCTCGAGTTCAAATCTTGTGAATGAAAAAACATGTGCTGAGAGAGTTTCCCCCAATATAAGGTCAGACTTAACTTGATTTCAAATTAGTTAAAGTCCAATATGGTTTTTGGATATCAGAAGATTAATACCGAAAAATAATATGCTTTTTTTTTGGGACAAAATAATATGCTTTTTTTTAATAAGGAAAATGCTTAGTGCACCCCCTGGTTCGACACCGGAGGGTGCACACTCTACAAAACCGAAAAAATATAAGAATAAAAGTATAAATTTAACCTTAAAAGTCATCTTCCTCACAATACCCCTTTTTCTTCATGTCTCTCCATCTTCCTCTTCTAGCAAATTCATTATCTTCTTCCTTTTTCCTTCTTCCTCTTTTTTTTTTTCTTTCCATCTGGAGAACCCAGATTGGGCTCTCCATCTGGGTTCTGCAACAGAACCTAGATGTGGGTTCTCCAGCAAAACCCCGATCTGGGTTCTACTACAGAAACCCAGATCTAGGTTTTGCTGGAAAACCCAAGAGAAAAAATGAAAAAAAAAAAAAAAAAGAGGAAGAAGGTGAGAACCTGGTACGGTTGTCAATTGTCTTGTAGATTATTAGGGTAATGATGGATTTGGTGCTTGAATGCTTGATTGAGTTTTGCTAGGATTTGTTTTTGTTGTCATTTGGGAAATGAGTTTAGTGAGGAGGGTAAATTTGTAATTTTACTTTTAAAATTATTTGGTTTAGAGTGTGTGCACCTGTTGGTGTCGAACTGGCGAGTGCATGAATCCAAGGTTTTTAAAATCAGACCGGATCGGTTGGTTGAATCGGTCAGACCGATACCCGGTGATGAAAACGGTTCGATTTACATAAGAAAACCGTTTGAGGTCAAAATCGGTCAAAATCGATTAAAAACCGATAAAAACCAATAAAAATCGATCAAAACCAGTGAAACCGGTGGAACCGAAAAACCACCAGTTCAATTTCTCATGCAATCTTCTTTCAATTTTTTCCAATTTCACCCTTCCCATTCCTTTCTTATACCCATTTTAACCTTTAATTTTAACAAAATTACAAAATTATCAACACCAAATTAGAAAATCCATGCCTGCGGCTTGCTCCTCTCATCAAATCTTCCTTGCTGTTTGGACCGATTGGTTCACCGATTAAATCGAGAACCGGACCTGAAAACAGTTCAATGATCGATCCGGTTTTAAAAACCTTGCATGAATCATTGTCCTTTTGATAATTACTAAATATATTAAAATAGAGCACATTGCATCTGCAACACAAAAGTGAATTGCAAAGAAGAAAAAAAAAATGTAATTACAACAAAAGGAGGAGGTAGGAATGTAGGAGCCTTCCCATGTGTTTAAATCAAGGTTATCAATTTCGTTTCATACTGGTCGGTATGGTCGGTACGTATCGGTTTTTTAGATTAACTGAAATGATACATAATGGAATTCTGTTTAGGTCAAAATCCAGATATTTCGGTCAAAATCTAGTGTACCAGTCAAAATTTTGATGCATCAGCTGGTACATCAAAATTCCAGCCGGTGTACACTGTCCAAATTTAAAAAAAAAAAAAAAGGATCCTCCCCTTTTCCGGTGGTTGCTGAACCCCTTGCTTTAGTATGCTTCGTCCTCTCCCCTTTTCTAGTGGCTGTCAAACCCTTCTGCTTTGATGATTATCGGTGATGAAGGTGGAGGCTGTGATGATGATGAGATGCAAGAAGATTGTCAAGATTGAAGTCCCCAAAGGGGCTTGCGGCTAGATCTGCTTCCTCTTCTCTAGTTTCTTTTTTTTTTTTTTATGACTACTTGGTGATTGGTGAGGGTGATGGCGATGAGAGTGATGATCAGCAATGGGATGGTGAAGATCCGAGGTGAAAGAACAGAGGTGATGGTGGATCTGTAGAAGGGAGAAAAATCAAGAGGCTTATCTCTTTTTTTTCTGTTTTCTCCTCTCTCTTTTTTTGTTTTGTTTACTAGCTGCCACCTCTTCCTTCCCCCTTTAAAAGAGAGGAAACTAGGGTTTTCTTTTTATTGTTAAATTTGGGTTTTGATGGGCTAGTTTATGAAATTGGGTTGAAACTTGAATTAAATTGTTAGTGGGCTCAATATTGGGCTGGATTTATGAGTTTATGTTAGTAAATTTCATCCTCAACTTTTTAATTTTTTCAATTGAGTTCTTTTCTTGTTTTTTTTTCTTCAATTTCTTCACAAAATTTTTCATAAAATTTTTTTATAATGATAAATCCGAAATGGTACGTGAAAAATTTCGATATCCGGTACATACCGTTTCAATAGCAAAACCGATATGCATGCCGGTACGATATTGACTCCTTTGATTTAAATAGAGGGAGAGAAACATTTTTATTCAATAAAATTATGATTTTTATTTAAAATCTTAATTTAAGTGAACAAAAAGTATTTGTATATTAAACTCACTCTAAATGCACATAATACACCATTAATTATATAATTTAATAATAAAATTATATATATTTTTAACTATAAATATAAAGTTGAATTTTTAATTTATACAGATAAAAAAAATGCATATGGTGCTCTCGTATATGAACCAAGCAGTACCTTACATACCCTTTCTTCACGCTCCACTCCTAGAGAACACCGGGGGTTGGTTCGAAGGGTGTAGTGTTTGAACCCCGGCTCAGTCCCTTCTTCCTTCCCCTTTTTAGCAAGAAAAATATTGTACTAACGGTTATCCTTTTTTTTGTTTGAACAAACCAAATTTATTTACATTACTTTTTTTGGGGAAATGGTTATATTAGTTTAAACTAATTTTTACATATTTCAAAATTAATTTTATTTTAAACAATTTTAAAAACACACTCTCCATATCAATTTAATATATTTAAAAATATTAATTTTTTTAAATATTAATTTTAATATTTGAATTTAATTTGGAGCTTGATGTATAAGATGACATATTTACTTATAATAGGATCCAACTCTTAAAGTTATTATTCTATATGTTTCAAAATAATTATTATTTTTCTATAATGAATCATCTTAAATTAATTTTTATTTTTTTATTTTTTGAGGTAGATAAATAATTTTTTCTTATGTTAACTTTATTATTATACTTTTACTTTAATTATTCATCCTCTCAAAAAAATCTCTATTTATCTCTTTTTTAATAATAACATAAATAAACATATATATTATTTTTAAATTCTTAATTAAAAAAATAAAAAATAATAATTATTTTACTCTATATTTTAGTGGAGGGAAATGGAGGAGAGGGAAATTTTTTCCTCTTCATTCTCCTCTTCTCCCTTCTTTTCATTTAAATAAATAATTAAATTAAAAGTAAAAATAAAACAAAAGAAAATTTTTCTCGCTCCTCCCCTCCAATTTTTTTTGTTAAATATGATTTGAATAAAACTGTCTTTCTCAATATATGTATATATATATATATATAT